AATCATACAGCAGGTCAATTTGTAGGTAGTCAGCAGGATTAGTGTCAGTCTTTGGTGACCAACCAGAGCTATTTAGATTCAGACGGCCAACCCAAGGTCTGTGGTTATTATTATAAGATGATGAGGCTGAGAAGCTGCCATCTGGAATTGCATCACTGCTGGTAACACCAATGGCCTGACTATGACATGCTGTTAAAAGACAATCATAATTGCCATAAACTGGGGTTTCAACCCAGAGAATCAGTTTATCATACATGTACAGTCACAATCACAAGTGTGCTGCAACATCTAAACATGCCTCAACTGATTTACCAGTGATCTGAGGTATTTCTGTAAAGACCTGTTGTTGTCGTTGTTGTTGAGTGCAAACTCAAGGCTCAAAAAATAAAAAAAATAAATTAATTTTGTAACCTTTCCGCCTCTAATTGAAGAAAAAAATGCCATCAGGAATTTCTGGTTGCCATAATAACACAATACTACAGGATTCTTACAAATTTAACAATGTTGAAGTACCTCCATGTCTACATACAGAAATTAAACGGCAAATTTTCCTGAGAATACAAATTGGAACCTCAGCTGAATAAGGTGGCAGTTAAGAGTAGTTCTTCAAAATATCCAGATATGCCATACCTCTTTGTTCTGAATACACTTCAACTTCACAAAGATTGAATTCCGATTCACCTCCCTTGACATCCCTGATGGTGACATATCTTCCACTCAAACTAGGACGGCAGAAGAATGACAAACCTACTCCCGAAGGAAGGCTATGAGTAACTTCCCTACCACATTTGGGACTAGCCATACTCGTATCAGTAATACTTGATACTGTGCCTGAAAGAATACCATAATAATAAATCACTATTAAAAAGTACAAACAAATTAAAAGAGATGACTGTAAAATAAGACATATACTGATAAAATAGAGATATCCACTTTCAAAACAATTAAGATTTACCTCCCTGGTGAGCCTTTGCCTTAAGAAAAGCTGCCCTTTTTCTAGTGCATAGCTAGGCTAGACTGACTCAAAAGTTATGCATAGTAAGGGCATGATGCTCAGTAATACAAGCCAACTACCAGAAATAGATACTGCTTTTGGTATTATTATTTGTAATAAGCTAGTCCCTGGCAATACTCATGATTGTCTGCAGTTATTTTACACATCATCAAGATGGAAACTCCCACAAAAATTTCAATGTAGTCCCTTAACTATCAAAACTGCTCCTGTTCCTTCAAATTATGAAGATTCTTCCTTTCTGTCATTTGGCAGCAGCCATTTCATTGTCACTGAGTTTAATCAGGGAAACTGTGTACAGGTCACAAAACTCAGTGAAGACAATATGACAAGTGACAGGAAAACATGACTAATTTGCATGGAGAAAAACTTTCATAAGCTATACCTCATTCAAACACTGGTAAATGTATGAGTGATTTCAATCAAAAGGATAAAAGTGGACTATAAAAGTATTACATTAAATTAAAAAATAGGACATATTTACATCTGTGCCATTTCTCAGATTCATATTACACATTTATTGTTAAATCATGTGGAACAATAAAAAACTTATGATTTTAGCTGATGAGCATAATCATGCATCTAACTTGAAAAGAAAGTAAAAAGAGCGCAGCCAGCCACCCACTCAGCAAACTGGCAATGTTTTTCAGTTGCCTGAAGCTAAAACTCAGTTCCTTTTGGTAAACAGGAACCAGCAGAGCACAACCGTGTAAGGGTATCTATGTGTACAACTGTCAAATCAGAACACCAACATCTAAACCTGACAGCAATTATATGATGCATGTTCATGCAGAAATAGCTGTGGCTGAGGGTTGACAAGAATGTGGAAACCACAACAGCATTGACAAAACCAGGACCAGATCGGATTGGATCATGGATCAGAAAAAAAAGTTTTGAAAAATTTAAAAAATCAAATTGTTATTGAAATAATAATTATAAATAGAATGTGCGATTAAACAAATAAGGGGCTAAGTCTCTGAAGAAACTGTGGTGCTGTGTTGGTGGAAGAACATGACTAGGTAAATTAGTATCATCAACTGAGTTGATAATGTAAATAAATTGGCCACTGTTTCAATTTCAAAAGATGACATTTTCAGCGTTCGCCCTTTGTCAGAGTGAATGACAAAGGAATGTTTCCCTCTGACAAAGGGATAACACTCGAAACATCAGCTTCTGAAATATTAACAGAGGCCAATTTATGTTATCAACTCATTAATAATACCAAATTACCTCAAAGTAAAAGTCTGCCTGACATAATGGAGCATAGGCCCCACTGGAAGTTTTTTTGCCCCAAAACTCCACGTAGTCGCTTTCACAGCTGTGTCAAGGAGTTTTGTGTAGTGCCACCATGGACAAAGGCAAGCAAGAGGTACGAATCATTTTATCAGTCAGTTATTACCATATTTATATGTGTATGAGTTGACTCCCCATTTGCAAGGGTGAAGATCAGATTTTTCATCATTTCTACTCAAAGAAGTAACATTCAAATGGATAGAAATTTCCCAATCTCTAATTTCTGAGAATGTATTGAAAACACGGGGAATTAAAAAAACTGCATAGCAAAATACAATCGTATGCTGCAAAGTTTATTAGCACTTGTTTATATCACCATGACCAAAGCATAAACGAGCACTTTGATTCCCTGGAGAAGTATTTTACTATATTTTGTAAATCACATTGAAAATGAAATCTTCTTGAATTTAACTAACTTTTTTTAATATCATCTCACATTCAATATTACTAACCACACATAAGAGAAGGGGCTTGGTGAGGAGTAAGAGTGGTTTAAATATGACACCTGAAATGCATGACTTTTGTGTGCAATTTATGTAAAGCAATTTTTTATGTCACACAGATTTCATTTTGGCTTGTCATGTAACATTTCTAATTTAAATTAAGATGTTTTAGTTTTTCAATCCCATTTTTATTTGTTATTATTATAAAAACAGTTATATATCTCTATAGATTTTTTTTAAAATTTTTAGAAACCTTTTTTTGTTTGGTATGTGATGCAACCCATGATGTGATCCCTGATCCTGACCATGATCCAACCTGGTCCAATTCAGCTTTTGTCGATGCCGGAAACCAAAGCACACCATTTTCCCCTCTTTTCTTGAGGACATTAAGCTAAGAGTGCAATGACCACTTCAAAAATAACCATTACTGTAAGTGTATTAACCTACCAACTTTTATCTCAAATTTTGTCAGACGATGTACATCATGTAAACCAACTACATACACTTCAGTCACAAACTCATCTTGTCCTAGATCCACTCTCCACCATGGAAATGGATTGTCTTGCACAAATGAACATGATTCACCCGCAAAGTTCATATTGCTATTTCCATCAACCGCTCTATCACTTGTGCCATTTACTAATGTCTTTAGGTGCTGATATGTTGGTTTTTGAAATGCCAGATTTTCTAGGGGAGAAAATGTACACACACACAAAAAAGAAAAGTTTCCTTGGACAAAGATGATCACTGTCCACATACTGATCATAGAATGACAGTTGCATTGAGTTGTATTGAATATGTTTGTTACATTATACATTATATAGAAAAATTAAAACAAAGGGTATTTTTAAAAAACTGGTTAATGCTAGATATTACATTTTGGGCAGCCTCCAGATGTACCAGCCTTTGCCAAAAAGCTGGAAAGCAAAGGACACTAAACTGCAATAATTTTGACATAAGAAAAAAAATCATGTACAGGTGTATGATTAAATTTTGAAATTAAAAATATACCTCCATTGTAATTGTGGCATTTTACTCCATTCTTAAGCTACAATGTACTACTATATAAATTCTACTAGTCATCCTTAACTGGTAAATTAATAGAGAGACATACTTATATTGCTTGATTGATTGATTGATTGATTGATTGAAGATTTAACATTTCTGACACACTGGAAGATAAATTGTACTATTCTTAGACACGTATTAAGGCAACAGACCAAAGGTAAATTATAAGACCCAAATATCAAGAAAGGAAAAGTGTGCTAATATACATATATTCAAATTATAGCAAATAAACCTATATTTAAATTACTTATCAAAAGACATTTCTTACAAGCATGACCATAAAATAATTCCCAACAAAACTTTTCTAAGATCTTTATGGTTAAAGGGATTCTGTGAGATTAAACAAGAGTCTCGATTTATCCACTCGACAAGAACATATTCCAAGGGCACTTGTTAATTTATCCACTTTTGATTACATTCAATTGTTTATCAATATCATCATAAAATCAGGTGTACTTTTCAAGGCTTTTGTGCTACTTAAAATTCAATGTGACTTTTGGCTGTAGTAACTATGGTAAATACAGTTTGTACATTAAACATGCAAACATAAGTATACTCAACCTAAATGAATGCATATATGTTTTGAGATACATAAAAAAGTCTTGGATGAGTCAATTTTTAAAAGAGGAAAAGTGACTTCACCACTACATTAAGTTTAGTATAAAGAGTAAGTGAAAAGTTACCTCGTGAATAGACTTCTACCTCACACAGTTCAAGACTTTGTTTCTTTGTGGTTAAAATCCCTATATATCTACCAGTTTTCAGTGGATTGGTAAAACAAACAGCTGATGCAGTGAAGTTATGAAAATCATAGAGTCCTCCACAGGGGGAGTTAAGTAACACATTATCAAAGCCACCTGTGGATTATGAGGCACTGAAAGTCAGAGTTACTAGTAGAGTTTGGTTCCATGTGGCAAACATGATCAATTTGTAATAGATTCTTCAGCAAATTAAACATCCTGGAAATGTTATTTGGCATATTAAAAAGAGATTAAAACTACCAAAACAAGGATTTAATCACATTAATTTTGCAAGTGCCATAATAGCCTTAACAGAGTGGCCAGGTAAAAAAATTCTTACTGGAGGTTAACTTCCGAGTGTCCCCTGTGAAAGTACAGTGTAGACAAATGATGACACTTGAGTACCCTGGTTCTAGTACTCCAGTCCCATTTACATGTGCTAACTGAACTCTAAGAGTAACCAAGAGTAAGATACTTGCAAGCAAATCTTAAACTTAGGCCTTGTATTGACTGAGCAATGACAAGTAAAACACATCTGGGCCGATTAATAACAAGGTCAAAACAGCTTAGCCGAGGTTTCAAAAATTCCTGTAACATCCAAACTTGCCTTTTGTTTAGCAGCTGATGATGAGGTGATGTATGCATGGTTGACCTTACATTTTATCAAAGGATAACAAAACTCACCAAATGTTATTTTGTAGTCTTCAGTAACCACGTGCTGTGAGAACCTGTTGACTATATGAACTTCAGAGACATCAACATAGTCTGAACCCAGGTCCACTCTCCACCAACTAAGGTTATTATTCTGAGTATGTGAACAGCTTCCTTTTAAAAAGTTAGTGTTAGGATTTCCATCCACTGCATTTCCAGACACACCATAAACATTGTCAGCAGTAATGTTGAATGTTGAAGACTGAGTTGTAGCCTTCCCTAGGGCAAGGTTCTCTGTGAACAGATATTGAAGAAAATGTTACCACATGGGCCATGAAAAACTTACCATTGCAACAGAGTGGTTCCACTCAAGATATTATAAAACAAAAGAAAAAGAGTTATGCAGTTTCTTTCCCCAAATTCCTTGCCTTCCTTCCATTCCTTTTTTTGTTATGTGTAGTTGTACTGTACCAACACTTATCTGAACCAAATAGTGTCATGTAGGAGATATTTGTGCCAATTAGTTTCATGTTAGAGTTCAATCCTGCAATAGCTTATGAATTACCCATTTCAGATTAAAGCTATTTCTATCATTTGCTCACTTCTGTTATAAAATGACTACCTTTTGCCTAGTTATTCAGTTGATTTAACAATTGCAACATACTACAATTTGTCAAGCCTTTGTTTGTCTATATTTCACTTAGCACTGACAAAACCTTCCACAAAGATAATCTCAAAGAAACTTAATTTTGAACAGTGAACTTGCTAAGCAGGCAAATTCTTTTAAGAAGTATCAAAGAATACCAGAATATAAAATCTACATAATATATAAATGGGTTATTGACCAAGTGTGAGGTCAAGATGGCTGTATACCAACCAAGTTCCTTTTTCCATAATTTTGTTGACAGAGACAAAGTCAAGGTCCACAAAAATAGAAAAAGTAACCAAGTCAATAACCAGCCATCTTACCTAAACAAGTTTGGTCAATAAGGGATTTATTATATAGATAAACATTTTGCTTTCATAATAATCAAGAATAACTTGTTAATTTCAAGAGCCAGGGAAGGAAGCTAACTGTGTTTGTAGCATAATAAACCCAAAAATGTTGCTTATGTTTTTTCTGTTTTGACTATGTTCTGCCTCTTTTTGCAACTTTATCACTGGCATTATGCAAAAGTTATTAACTTTGTAAGTCCACTTTTTCTTGCACAGGATCAAGGAGGGCAATCTTGAGCAAGCAAGATGAGCTCAGATAGCCAATCAGAACACAGGATTTGCTTCATATTGCCCACATGCACTGCCAACAATATGATAAATGTATATATTGAACCTCCTTTGGTTATGTAATATTATCATGCCTGCACATATACCTGGCTTTTGTTTCACTCCAAACACCTCTGTTCTCAGACACACCAAACCCTGGTAAGTTTGTGGCAGGAAACGCACATATCTTGTCAGCAGTCCATAAACAACATGCTTCACCACTGAGTTTCTGTCACCATTTCCCATGAAGACCTAAGATTTTAAAAAGTTATAACATTAATATATATGATTATACAATTAAGATACATGATGAAAATTACTGTAGGCTTCAAGTAAATTGGTGACTTAAGGTTAAGAAAAATG